CGGGGTCGGTTAATTGGTACCAGACTTGTCTGGGAGGATAAAAACACTGACTTGAACATCGGCTGGCCCCCGCAAGTCATTGTATAGGCCACATCGCATTCAAATGCCACTGCGAATGTACAAATGGAAGTAGAATGCGTGCCGCATCCCAAAAAGGGATTGATCAACGGCAAATGCTTTATCCTTTTTTATCCTTTTTTGTCCCACTTGTCGCCGAATACAAATGAATGAAATGTTTGTAATGTTATCTTTTTTGTACCGCCCGCCACGGTGGCTGCCTGCCCTGTCCCCCTCTCTGCTTTTTAGAAACGGTTTTGAGAGCTGAAATCCTTAGCAGACTACCTTGACCCAATCGGGCCTTGCGTAAGACCTCCAGTATAGTGGGTAGTTAGAAGGGGCAATATTAATCAAATAAATTTTTGGCTTAAATCTTTCAGAAACGATCACAACTTACAGCCTTTCGCTGAACTTCCTCGGGAACCATTTCATGACGGGAATATAGACGACGAGGAACATATTGATAATCCATACCAGCGAAAGTTCGTCGACCAGTTGACCTGGAAAGGAAAGTTCAGGCCGATACGCAATGCAAATCAAGCTCTTACATTCCGAACACAGAGAAGACATGGTCGGGTTAGGTAGAAATGCTAAACACTGCAGATTCTCTGGCTTCAAACTTTGCCCTAGTTGACCCTCTCGGCTCTCTTCATGGTCCAGATACCGCTGTGGATACGAACCCTTCACCCAAGTCAACTAAGAATTATGGACGGTTAAGAATTGGATGCAAATATAATTACCAAGGAAGTTCACTTCTGCTTTGTTTCTTCAGGTTTGGGATGCTGTCCTTCTTTCTGCTGCGCCCTACATTGTCCTTCAGGACTCCAAATTTGATTGGAAGGTGAAAGTGCAGGTTGAGTACTTCCTGGACTGCTATTTTACAGCACCAATTGACCGTAAAAGTACAACGATATTGCTTCTCTCTATTCTAGAGCTGGATTTCCATAGAAACGGTCGTTAACCCTTTGACTACTGGTGGTACACATGTGTACCACTTCCGTAGTCAAAGTCACTACCACAGTTTTGGCACTTATTGAGATCCTTGGATGGCGGAATTGTGCACGAATGGAAACTTTATAATTCTTACTCTAACAACAAATCATCACAAGTTTGAGGGAGTTACCCTGGATAGGTAAATAAAGCAAGTCATACCGCAGGCCACAGGGGTCAGTGTGCTCAGCTCACAAAAAGGTAAGTTCTGAATCTACATCGTATTACTTGCGTCAATGGTTTCAGTGGATCCCTACATTATTGTTTCAAGTGCAACACAAACAAATGAACATGACAGATGGGGTCATTTTATCGGCCAAGAACCGGTGAGAGGACGACTCGGCGTTCTACGACAGTGTTGGAAATTCCAACCTTCAGGGCTCTGACAGTTCGGATGGTTCGGAAAGTGGAAGTAGAAGACTCCTATGATGACGCAGATTTCGAGCAGTAAGAGCCAACAAAAATTCGTCAGAGCGGAAGCAGCAGGTGGGATCTGAAGGGCCTCTACGGTGTGACTTGCAGATTCTTCCAAGTGTGGTGCCAGCCGGACATAGGCTTTGTTCCATGAATCAAATATGAAAAATGTGTTCATAATCGACCTAATTTCGGCATGATGAGTTCAGTAGGGACAGTTCTTCAAGCCTTTCAAGATTTAACTTTCTGGTAGAGCTTATTGTTCGGCTTCTTCGCCTTCGTCAGAGCTTGAGAGGGTTAAAAAGAAGGAGAAGCCGGAAGCCGAAACGAAGAGAGGACGCTATCGCGCGCATGGTCTCTTGGTCAAATCGAAGGTCATCCGCGTACGTCAGCCAAATTTCTACAGATGATTAGCTGTCAGGAGCGATATGCAGGTACTACACAAAGCACATCGATGACGTAAAAAAGTCGCAGTTCAGGGGCTAATTCAAAGGAATTTAGGGGTGGACTTCTTTCGACGAAAACCTTCAATGGCTCTGAAGTCAGCCGAATAGAACCTGTTACCAATTCCAAGATTCCTGAAAACCAACTGACTCACCGAATAAGTTTAGTGTCGCATGATAGTAAGTGGAAGCCAAACCGTTGAAGGTGAGTAGTAGTTGAGGTACGAGGAGGCCAGGATTTACCTGAATTACTTCACATTGAGCAGCCTCTTGATGCCGATTAAGAAGGGCTATTCGTAATAACACGAAAAGTACCGACTGCTACACTTAAAATTTCTTTTCCAGATATAGGGCGTGGCTGTTCACCGATGCGAGAAATGCGCGAAGTAGCGCAGCGTTCGGCCTAGTTTTTAGGATTGCCGCTTCCGGTAAAGAACTAGGTTGAAAAGAATCGGCGAGATAACCTGTGGGCCCCAGAATCCTGTGGGTCACGGTAAAAGGGGGCCCCAAGGATCAGGCCGGTCTGTTGGGGGTAGAACACCAATAAAGCTTCGTCGGTTGCGATTTCTTTAATAAGAAATGCGGTATTCCGGGGTTGACAGTAGAATGTATTTTGTGATGGAGTGGTAATTTTTTGATTTTCGCTCTTTCAGCAGTTATATCATAACTCCCGCACAAGGGGCATTTTGGAAAATGGATGGTATCAGATGAACTGAGGGAGATTAGAGATAGGTTTGCAAGGGAGTACAAGGGTGCCATAGTAACAAATGAACCCGGATCTGGGGAGCCATAAGAGGATTCCATCCTGGAGCGAGTTCGTGTTGGCCCTGTAATTTTGGGGGCAAATCGGGAAGAGGACCGCATTAGGCGCTAAGACCGTGGAGAGAGCGGGCCCCACAAAATGCTGTGCCTGCGGCTTCGGCCACAAAGAGTGCGTCGTATTTAGTGACCGTCTACCGGCACTGTTCTGAGCACATCTCGTAGAGATATAATAAAATTTTATGAGCTTCACCCCTATTGCCGAAATATTAGTTTTACGGTGGTAGAACCTCAAAAAGCGATTATTTCTAAGAAAAATAAATTCTGTGAGTTTGCAGAAAGATTGTTTACCTCTCTGATGTATCGGCGTAACATCATTGCGTTTAACATCGGTAAGACAATGATTGGAAGGTTAGTCATCTGAAAATATCTACTTAATGTTTATAGGTTTTTTTTTCTCGAAAAAATTCGAAACATTGGAGCATATAATCAGCAAACTCAAAAGGGGTTCGCCTTATGTCGCTACGTGGGGGGGGAATTTAAAGTGAGGAAAGCCCTTACAGCCACTCTGTGAGAGCCGCAGGGGAGGGATTGCGACTATGTCGGGACGATCATGAGCAGACTAGTGGTTATCCTAGTATCTACCCCCTCTTCTGGGCTTAGTCCTCGTGTAATCAATCGTCGGTCCTGGTTTGAAAGTCCCCCCCCCCAATGACATGAGCGCCTTTGAAGTCTATATAAGGACCCAGTCGCGATACGCCACGCACGTGAAATCAATCCGGACTATCGGCGTACAAACATGGTGGTTACAAGCCTCAACGAAAGGTTATGGATTTCTTCTGCGTAATTATTGATCCTGAACACTTTGCCCCTTCCGAGAAATTGCGCCTGGAACAGTCCAAGAAACCGCGCCTATTACTAACAGTGGGTATGGAGCGCATGATTTTTCACATCTCCTCGGTTTAATAGTCTCATTTCATCCCTCGCTTTGTCCACTAGTTTGTTTCTATTCAGCTCAGGTGAAACAGGGCCAAGTACATGTAATGCACTATTATAGCAATGGTCAAACTAGCGAATCTGGTTCTGATCCTACCAGTTTCGATTCGGGGATTAAGCGGTCAGCGGATTTACAACCGGTCATCAGTTTCAATCCAAAGCCGACTTTTAATTGCAAGTTTTTGGTTTTCACTTTCTGACTTTCCTTATCATCCCTTCTGCTGTGCGATTGTAGTAGGGAATTGCTAGAATTGGATTGCTGCTAAGAGATCTTGGACGGGATTCCGCAAAGAAGTTCTCTCTTCACAAGTACAATATCAGTACTGTTCAAAAAGCAATGCGTAGTGGCGGCTGTGAAAATGGACTGGTGTTTGAGCGGCATGAGACCTATACCCAGCCGTTGCTGGCTTGTCCGTTGTCTAACGCCTGGCCGCAACGAGTAGGAGGCTTACCATCCTTGGTAATTTGGCGAACCATTGGCAAGTAAGCCATAAGAATAATTGGAAAATTAAACCAAAAATTTTAAAGTAAACATGCGAGACGTCCAGAAAGGAAAATTTAGACTTTACTGTGTGGCAAAGTTCGCGGCCACCATGGTAGTGTTCTGCATATCTTGAGGCGCCTTTGCGCACCATGCAGGGCTCCCGATTCTTACTCGAACCAGTGAGTCATATGAAAATTTCAACGGTCCTATTTTTTTTTAAAACGACATGAGTTCGCACAAAAATAGTTACGGGTAAAGCCTGTGGTCATTCACAAAGAGGACAATACAAAGTACAATAATTGAGAATTCCAAGGAATTGTGAAGAAAAGCTGCCTACTCTAGGATTGGGTGCAGAAGGAAACAAACTGGAAAAGTAAAAGAGCGCTATGGCAGGAAGAGGGGGCACTTCCGGATAGCAAGTAAATTTGAAATTAAACTAAAGCATATCTCGTATACGTTTAAGTATGCGGACAAGAGCCTTCTAGGATGGAGAGGAGGCCTGCAAGTGGCTGGATAATTTATGGTTTTCCTCGAAGTTCCCTCCCTGCGTCTCCCTCAGTTCCTAGACGAGCCTTTCGCCATTTTTGCGTAACGCCAGGAAAAAATGTAAAATACCAATCAAGTGATCTGAAATTTCATACTGAACACCACTGGGCCCCGCGCTTGCATGGATGGTTTTCGAGATTACATACAATTAAAGTGGCGCTATGTCGTTAGGGGGGGGGTGGTCCGCCCTAAGTTCAACGCTGCGTCCCGCCCACCGGAGAGCCTCCTAACTCACTCCGGCCGTGATGGAATGAACAAACACCCATTGCATGTGCATAGGTTGAAAAGTAAAACGATAATTGGAGTCTTAAAATCGGAGTAATCGAGCAATGCGATATTCCTGTCACATGAGAAGCGGTTATTGATGCGCGCGCAAAATCAATACACATTTCAAAGTACACACAGATTGCGAAAGCCATCTGAATTAGAAACTTACCCAATTTTAGAGCAAGATACTGCTCTACCGCGATAGCGGCGATGTTAGTAGTGAATGAGACATACTATTCGACACCTTATATTGACGATAATGAGGAGACACCGTAACAATTTGATATTTTGTGGTAGCGCGGTATAAATGTCTAGACGTCATTTGCTATCAAAATCAGTTATCTCGGCAGTTATGGGTTAAATTCCATGAAATTTCGGAGTGTTTCTCAGTAAATTCAGCCGAAATCCTGGTCGCAAATATTCAGATGTATTCGAGTCAGCAGCAAATGTTCAAAATGGTATTGGCTCGAAAGGGGAAGACCAGAAAGAAACAGCGACCAATAATAATCTCATTCGAAAGGAGGACGAATGCAAAAATGGTGCAACCACAGCTTACCGGAAACCTCAACCATGCATTCACGTTGCTGAGACTGGAGAGGTGCGGTCTCTGGGAAAGCCAGACGCTGAGACTAATTCAGCCACAAATGAACTTGTGCGCGCTAGACCACGAACATAAATGGAGGATCGAGCAGCAGCGACACAGATGTATACGGAAAGTATCGGGACAAACCAGGATTCCGTGATTTTTTTCTAGTTTTAGTTAATTTAAATTTAAATTTTTAGTTAAGAATTTTTTAAAGAGAATCTATTTGGGATGTACCCCTCCCTATTCCTTGAAGATGTGATTAAGAAGACTGAATACTTCTTTTTACATAAGCGATTTATGGGGCCTTTCAGGTAGTCATCTTCACAATCAGCCAGTTTTCGGATAACTTCGAATACTGTAGTTTCACTACTCAAATTGAATTAGTTAGTTCGTTGTTGGATTTGGGCGTAACAGCTCACTTGTTAGTACGGCTTTGCGTAATGTTGTGGGGGTCACAGTCAAACCTTACACTCTGAGCAGAGAGCAACAAAATTAGGAACCTGACCGGTCCTTGACAAAGAACGCTACGCATTTGGGTGCTATACAAGTAGGGTGGGCACGCCGCATTTTTTGAACAGAAATGTATGTCAGTGGGACTGCTACTCGCTACTATACTGTCACGAGAATTGGGGAGTTCGTGAGCCAGGGGGGAGTGTAGCCAATCTAGGGGGGTGGGGGGGGTGAGGGCAGTCACTTGACATGCGTGAAAAGCTGGGTGTGCCCACCCCACTTGTATAGCACCCATGTTGACCATTCTGTAAGGAAATGCAAGGAAAGCGATGTACGCGATTACGGGACCAACCGTCCAATCTTAAAGGGATTGATCCGAAGAAGGAGGTTTTCGGGAAAGTTCTAGGGCTTCACTGTAGAAACGGGTATAGGTAGGGAGGATTTATGGATCTAACTAAAGATTATGAATCTAGACTAACTAAAGTGTGGGTCACGGACCCCCCCTCCTTACAAACTCCAATTGAGGTTCCGGAGCCCCCGTTGTTACTCGTAACAGACGTAGGCGTGGACCCTGGTTCACAGGGCGCGGGGTCGCGAAGAGTGCTGACCAAAACGGGTTGAAGTGGGCGAACGTTCAAGAGAATGAGAAGAGAGAACACGACGATCATTCGAGCATTTCGCATGTTTGCTTGAGTCGGTCGGCCGACACGGGTTAAACACTGGCTACAGACTACATATAGCATCTCGCCGTCATTATCGCATGAACGAATTCGCTAAATTCTGTAGCGGAGGAGAAAATGGATGCGATGGGAGCGGAGAGGAGCCTAGTTGATGTAAATGCTTGACGGCTACAGTTAAAAAATTACGAAACCTGTTCGCGAGGCAGAGAATCTCGAATTAGACGTGAAGGCATGAGAGCTGCGATTAGTACAGTGAGTGGTGGCCCGGGTACGAGAGTTCTGAATCGTGTCGGCTGTTATTTGGGCAATAGTCACTGAACTGTACTGGGCACCTTTGAGCGGCTTGCTGTGCGCGCGCCGCTATTGGGCATGGAATTACAGGCCCCTGCTCGAGTCTCTAGAATGATGGGGCGGTTACGGGTGGTTCGATGGGTAAGCTAACCTGCGTTGAATCCAGTCACGTCAAACTTCGGCTCTAGCTAACGAAAATTTGCCCAACGTGGGGTAGTTGTTATATTAATGAAAGGCAAAAAGTGCCCGAAAACTCTCAAGTTCTTCGGAGGTCATGAAGATTTCTTAGAATCCTCAGGCAAGGTCTTACCTCCCATACGGGCGAATTACAACGAAAATACGGATTTTTATCTAGTATCATAGAAATACGGTTTCCGAATCACACGAATCCAGATGGACTGTTGACTCTACATATTTAGGAGTGAGAGCTGATCATGGGAGCGTAGCGTCCTCTTTTTGCTGCTTCGGGCAACTAACAAATAGTGTTTTACATTTTATGTTATCGGGCAGGCGGGGGTCCATCCGCGGCACGGTTCGGCGCCCAATACGTGCCTTTGACCAATGCTCTTTTGGGAAATCGCAGTTATCCGTGCCTAGGATAATACCAGAGCTCTTCCAGCAGATTACACAAATCAGCATCTGGGCTTATAGTTAGTCTTACCAGCTTTGCTCCGCCCGGTATCGCGCGTATCATACGACCTAAGATTCCGCAGGCACTCCAGGTATATTTATCACACATAGCTCTGTAAACACTCGGCCATTCTCCTGAATTTTGATAATTTAGCGGTGAATAGGGTTATGGTGTTAGCCTCACAATTAAATTTATCATAAGTGAGCATCTAATGCTGATCCTTCATTCACAGTGTTCGCAAATCCTAAGCTTTGGCGGTCATTAAATGAGTTCTGGTCTTCTTGGTATTAGATCAAGAATGGAATGTACCATTCGCCAAGAGTCTGCTCAAGCCAAGCTGATTATATCGATAGAATGTCCACGACCCACCCCTAATAACACTTATGAAAAGAGCCCCATAGTGCCAACGTGAACTGCGCAATGGGAATTGCCGACTTCTGCCGCCCTAAGACTCCTTATCAGCCCCTATCAGTTGCTATCATTTTTGTC